CACAGCGTAAGAAGCTGTATTGCAGACCTTTTGCAGCTTTTATTGTCAACAACAGAACCCCATGAGGATCTTTATATGCCAATAAATTACTGCTGACACCCATTACCCATTCTAAACCCTTCACCAATTATTATTTTATAAAATAATTTACCTGGGAAACCTTTTTTCAAGTGACACAGAGGCCCTTTTGCGGCCCCTACTGGAGAGATCACTGCTATTACAGTCTGTTCTCAGAACAGCCAGTCACGGGACCTCCTGCTCTCAGTCTTAAACACCATCTCTTGCAAGCAGCGGTTGTTTCCTCAGATTACTGCTTCTCTGATCAGCACGGGAACAAGCTGCCCAGCCTTGTTGCTGAAGTTGATTCCCTGTGTTCTTTTTTTTCAAGAAACAGCTGGAGATCCTGGGGTCAATTACTGTAACTACTACCTACCAGGTGGGCTAGATGGGGTGACCTGCTCCTCTCATTTGTGACCAGTCTCATCTTCTTATGTTTAATTTCCAACATGAGTGAGTCCTGAGACACCTGATAACCACTCTGGTTCAGGACCCTATTGGCCAGCAGCACAGTGCCGAGAGCAGCCGAGCTCATCCTTGTCGATGAGGGAGTTTCTCTGGGATTTAGCTATACCGAAGAGAAATGAGTGATTGTGGGTTGTGGGCATTTGGGTTTTTATCATTTGACCTGCAAAGTTCCTGCTGCTCCCTTCTGTGCACTTTACAGGCCTGAACTAAGCGTTCGCTGGGCACAAGAAAACGTTGACTTCTTCAGAGATCAGCAGCTCCAGGAGAAATATTTCGTTTAGACTGGGCAAGAGGCACCCATACTCCTTACAGAACTCTCGGAAAGTCGGGGAGCAGGATCTTCCGCCTGGAACCCCAAGGACAGCCTCGCTCACTGGCCTGGATCCCACTGGCTGACGGCTAAACCCGGAAGGACCAGCAGGCAGTTGTGCGAGAGGACTGCGACTGGACATTTCTGATTGCCAAAGTTCTGCCTCAAGCAACGGAGAGCAATCCTGCAGGAAGCTGCAGCTGTATCACGCTTGCGGCACCACTGTAGAGCTACAGTACATCAATAATGCAATAATACAGCATGACACAACAATACTTGTTTTTCTAGGTCGGGGCTAGTAGTTTGATAAGATAATGCAGAATCAGGCCACCAGAGTAGGGTGACCATGTGTCCCGGGACAGTCCAGTGCCTACAGCTTGTCCAGTCTCTTTGGAGGAGGGCAGACACAGAACCCCCACCCCATGGTACAGTAGGTGCACTGTACCCCAGAGAAAGAGCTTTGGTTTAATGATAATTCTGGTGTCCCATTTTCAGATTTGGGTCAAAAGTAACGTGTTCCTCACACTCAGCTGTCTTTGTGTGCCTTTGTCTCGTAAATGTGCACGACACACATCAAGGATTCAGACAAACTTGCCGGCTGGAGTCTGCGTGTCAGCTGGAAAATTAATCCTCTCTGACTCAGCTCATTGGCTTGACTTCACTGTGCTCCACAGATCTGGCTTCTCATTAAAGAAAGAGCTGCTCCTTCCATTATCAATACCTTCCCACTCTTGAGCATAAAATCTGCAGTTGCTGAGAGGATTAAAGAGGCATTAAATCTGCGCGACAAGCTGACTTGACTCACCCGGGGACAGATTTTAAACTCATTTCCTGCAGCCGAAGCCTGGATCTCCTTCCCCTTAGTTGTCTTTTTTTCGCAGAAACACAGGTTCTTAATTTCGAACTGCATCAGTCACACAATTATGTCTTAGTGACACTGTTGTCTCAGGAGCTTCTCTGAATACAGTTCTACTCTACAGGCACTATCTTGTGGAATCCAGGGGGAGTAAGATCTCCTTTGTTAAATATTTGATTTTCTTCATTTGTTAATTCCTTTGAAATTTTTTAAGAGCATAGTTGCTGTACAATGAATCGTTCATTTGAAGATCTTCACCATGGATTGAAAAAGTCCAAACCTACATGTTAGCTTTATTCAACACTTTTCTATTTCCTCTGTCTCTGGCTCATTCTAAAAATTCAATTTTACATTAGTATAATCTTCCATTTGTGTGGAGTTTGCACGTTCTTTCAGTGTTTGTGTGGGTTTCCTCCGGCGTTCCTGTTTCCTCCCACAGTCCATAGACATACTGGGAGGTTAATTGGCTTCTGGGAAAAGGGTGTGCGTGGTTGTGTCTGTGTGTACCCTGTGATGGACTGGTGTCCTGTCCAGTGTGTACCCCGCCCTGCAATCATTGCATGCTGGGATAGGCTCCAGCTCCCCCACGACCCTGTACTGGATACACAGGTTAGAAAATGGATGGATATACAGTATGAACATACAAGTTATTTATGTGTATTCATTTTGTTATTATCAAAGTCTTAAACTTTTCTCTCTTTATGGCTTGGATGTTTGTTTTTATGTAAAAAAGTGCTGACATATTGTAGAGCTGCTCTGATAGAAAAATAACTTCATAAAGTTGTCACTGTTTTTGGGAATATTAACTGGAAGTCATGACAGGTCTCTCAGCACCTATGGTAAATATTCTGATGTTATTAGGCTGTCGAATGATTGTTTGAAGGTTGAAGGTGTGCATACTGTATATTGTTCTAGCAGATATTAAATGAGCAGTCTCATACATTTTTCAAGAACGATGAGCGAGATACATTCACAGCATAATGATTCAGCTACAATGACTCAAGTGTTTAATGAAAAACCTGTGTCAACAAAGCACTTATTTTTCATTCGTGGAAAGGGAAATTTTGCAGGGTCAGCACCCTGACTGGGGCTGAGATTCGTGATTCAATGTTTTTAGCCGCACTCGATTCTTGTTGTCTCTGTGGGAGACCAGCTCTGTCCACCTCCATTCTCCAGTCTGATGACCTTCTGCAGTCCTGCCAGGCCAGAAGCCCAGATGTTGTTACTCACTGAAAATCCTCCATTCCTCCTCTTTGCTGGTGGACTGACTGTGGACGGTGGCGAATCCACAGTTCATAGACTTTGTCTTTCTCCTAGGAGTCAGCATTGTGGCAGAACTTTGCCATTTTGGACAGATTAGTGAGGAAGGACATGACCTACATGAACACAAGAGAGAACATGCAGACTCCACACAGAAGGAGCCCTAGCCCAGAAATGAATGCAAGATCTCAGAGGCTTGAGGCAGCAGTTCTAGCCTGCACTCTGCATCATAATTATTATTATTCAAGCAGGGATTCAGACCCACATCCCTGTTAGTTGTGAGTCCAGAGACTTACCCACAAAGAGACTTACACACTTATCCAAGTATAGATACATAACACTTTATTGATCCCAAAGGGAAATTGAGGAGTCTTATCTATCTATCGAAATGTGAATTGTAAGTTGAGGTTTTCGACAGGTTTGACAGCTTTTCTCTGGTTGGCAAGGAGCTCAGATGTGTTTAATGTGCTGGCCAGGAGCGTGAGGGAGTGGCTGGACTGGGGGCCTTTTCAGACACATGTCCCAGGGAACACAGATCGGCCTGGGACCAAGGAGCTAACCCCCCCCAGGCCTCACTGAACAGGCTGGCTCGCCCTTCAGGGCGTGTCTCCCCCTCTCCAGAGCACTGCTCCAGTCCAGCCCCTGAACGCACTGCCAGCCCCTCTGATACCAGTGCCCTGCTGCCCACGGAGAGTGGCTCATTAAAAACTCTGCATTCAACAGAAATAATTCCATGACACAAAAGAAGAGTTGTCAGCAAACCTCATGTCCCGCAGCACAACTGAACAACGCATTTCTTGACTCAATCTAGGTACAGTAGCAGCAGACAAACAGACAAGAGCTCTCTTCAGCTCCACCTGCACAAGAGTGGATCACACATTTCATTTCTTCTGTCCCGCTTTTCATTTTCACATCTACTGCCTCCTAAACGCCACTGGAACTCAAATGACCCTGCTTAAAAAGATACCACGGCAGTGTAATTCGTAAGAGGTATATTTATTTGTTTTCCTTCAGAGACACCCTGAACAGATGACAGTGGAACAATCCAAAAATGTGCTACAGCCCAAACAAAACAAAAACAATGCACTACAGTTGAGAGACTCTTAGCCCTCGCCATCTATAACACTGCGCACAGCTTAAACATTCATCGCTCCAAAGCATTTCATAAAAAAAACATCAGGCTTTGTTAGATATTGGGCTGACTCTTCAATCCAATGTGCATTTGCGGGCTTTGTAGAGTTTATGACAGCACTCGTAGAGGACAAACGTGCTTCAAGGTGATAACAACCTTATTTTTAA